TAACCCCACTTCTTAAGAAACCCACTCTTAACCCAACTCTTTTAGAGAACTACAGACCAGTTTCCCTTCTACCTTTCATTGCAAAAACACTTGAACGAGTTGTGTTCAACCAAGTCTCAGCTTTTCTCACACAGAACAACCTTCTGGACAGCAACCAATCTGGCTTCAGAAGTGGATATTCGACCGAGACTGCCTTGCTTTCAGTTGTTGAAGCCCTAACTAAGACTGGCAAGAGCGGCTTCCAAATCTTCTATACTTATTTTGCTGGATCTGTCTGCTGCTTTTGATACGGTGAACCACCAGATTCTCCTGTCTTCCCTATTGGAAAATGTCATCTCAGGAACAGTGGTTTGGTGGTTTGAGTCTTACCTCTCATATAGGTCCTTCAAGGTATCTTGGAGAGGTGAGGTGTCCAAGTTGCAATACTGGGGTGCTGGGGTGCCTCCTGGCTCAGTTCTTGGACCACTTCTCTTCTCTGTCTACATGGCATCAATAGGTTCTGTCATTCTGAAACATGGCTTTTCATATCACTGCTATGCTGATAACACTCAACTCTACCTCTCATTCCATCCTGATGATCCGACGTTAGCTGCTTGCATCTCAGCTTGTCTGACAGACATTTCTTGCTGGACCATCACCTTCAACTCAAGACAGAACTACTTGTGGTTCCATCAAACCCATCGTTTCATCACAATTTCACCATCCAATTAGGCACATCAGCCATAACTCCTTTAAAAACAGCCAGAAACCTTGGAGTTGTGATTGATGATCAGATGACTTTCTCAGACCACATTGCTAAAACTACCCGGTCCTGCAAATTTGCTTTATTCAACATCAAGAAGATCAGGCCCTTTCATTCGGAACATGCTTCACAACTCCTTGTTCAAGCTCTTGTTCTGTCCAGGCTGGACTATTGAAATGCTCTCTTGGCAGGTCTTCCAGCCAACCTTTACAATTAATCCAGAATGCGGCTGCAAGATTAATTTTTAATGAGCCAAAAAGAACGCACGTCACACCTCTGTTTATCAATTTGCACTGGCTAGCAACCAGTGTTGGGAAGTAAGTAGTTACATGTAACAGAATTACGTAATTTAATTTAAAAATAAAAGTAACTGTAATCAGTTACAGTTACTGAGAATAAATGTGTTATTAAATTACAGTTACTTATGAAAACGTTAAGGATTACAAAGGGGGTTACATCTGATTTGTTCACACACACTCCCACATACAGATTTAATTGATTTCTTTCATGAATTGCTGTGACTGCTCTAAAATATGAAACATCAATGTTTCAGGAGTTTATAACATGCTTATTCAATAACTCTTTTGTTTCATTTATGGGCTTATGTATAGCTATGCTTCATTTTTTAAGATTACCTGTTTTTTCCAAGGCATTGTTAGATTCCAGACAGTGTTTCTTGCCATAGCCATGCAAAGATTTGATTTCAAAAACAGTATCATAGCTAATAAAATGTTTCTTGTTATGATTTTAAATATGTATTTAACCTCAGAAATACATTGTTGCACTGCTTGCGCGTGCCTCAAAAGAGGGCTTACAATGACTTGCAAAGATACATAACAGCTACAAGTCTATGCACTACTTGCTACAAGCACTATATAGGATAAATCACTATACAGGATTTACCCTATTATACTTTATCAACACGAACAACAGGAAGGTGAAACAACAAACAGCCACCCTCAAATAGTCTATAAACAAAGCATCAGGCTGTCTTTGAGTTCACATGAACAACGGTTAAAGTTACTTGTCGTCAGGCTACAGAAGAATACCACAATTCCTCCGTTCAATTAGGCCTAAGTCATCGCAGACCTATAACAACTCGGGCACAACACATAATTGCGAATAACATGCCTTACCTTAACACAGAATCGACCACAGAGTCCAACGTTTATATTTTTTCTACAAATCTTTCAGTT